TCATAGCTTTGCGATGTGAAAACACCACAAACCACATCGTAACGCTAACCCCATAACCTTAACCCCCAACCATGGGCAGGTCTTTTCCAAATCGCAGTGCTATGACATCATAAAAATGCGATTGGTCAGATGCAATGTTGATCCTGGACAAACACCAACACGAGGAAATCAGATATACTAAAATTTCCCGCCCTAATCTGACACACACAGTGTGTTCAAATTCGTTCATTTAAATGAATTAGACATACTCAAATAATGATTAAACACACTGAAGCCTGCATAATTATTCCTCCTCTTCACACTGACCATTAACAGACAGTCTGTTCCCATTTTGCCTGTAGTATGTAAGAGCGAAGGTACGAATTTTAGATTCAGTGCAGAAATATACCCCAAATTTGAAACTTCTACAGTCTGAAATCTTCAGATTAAATCGATATTTCCCATTTTTCCAGGAAAAAGAAAATTGTGTTTTAAAAAAAGCCAGCAATTCTCACCAAATATTAACTATAAAAAAAAGAAGATTCACTCCATATTTTCTTCCGGTCGTCCACACCTGCTCTACAATCCCGCAGAGTATGGCCGTGTTTCTTCATGAAGTTGTATTACAGTGAATGTAACACAAGGACACTACAAAAAGTCTTTTTTTTAAAATCTAGCTGTGACATGCACTGAACTTCATAAGGACTGTGGATTAATTACCATTAAAATCACTGGCAGTAAGAACAGGAGGAATTTTATCAGAAAGGAAAAGTTGTTGAACCTGTGTGTTTTTTTTGGAAGTGTGACAGACTTACTTTGGGAACCAAGCCTTGAAAACACATCCAACATATACAAGAGAAGATATTTTAACACTAAAGACACAAAAACTGATTCTTAAGAGCCATTTTGTGTCTAAACTTTCTAAGACTTGTGGGTACTACATAAACTTTCTATTTAACCTCAGCATGTCTAGTTGGGAATCACTGGTTTAAAAGAATAACTATAAGGCAGGAAGGAAAAATCACAGTTTTGGCCCCTCTGCAATAAATTATGCTTAATTAAAGTCTTTAATAGTGGTGTTAATACCATAAATTTCACTATGTCGCTATGAGGTATTGCTACAACTTTCATTTCAATTCCCTCTCTACAGTTCAAATAAAACATAAAAAAGGGCCTCTCCTGTCTGCCTGGCTCCTTTACCTCTAGACTCCTGCAGGATTCACTAAAGGAGAGGCTCTGAACACGGTACCAGCAGATAACAGACAGAGGCACTGGTCCCTGGCCACTCGGGGGCCCCACCAGGGGGGTCTTATTCTCACTGACTGGACTAGGCTCCTCTATCACGGAGGAATGCACAGACGTATGGGGGAAAGAAAGACAGACAGACAGAGAGAGAGAAAAAAACAGACAGGGAGGGAAAGAGGGACAGAAACACAGAGACTGAGTAGGTGAAACACAGGCATGCAGTGGCAGGGGTTAACACTCAGGCCGACGGTGTGTCCAGGCAAGGCTGTGAAGAGGACATTGTTACAACTACAGAGGAAGAGCAGAACTAGATCAGGACACAGCTGGGTTGTAGGAAGGCTACATCCCAAAACAGGATCCGTTCTGTTAATGCGAATGAGGACGTTTAGCACATCTACGTACTGCTCTCTCTCTCTATTTATAGACGGTCAGAGTTGCCGGGAAGAGAAGAAAAAGGACAAAACAACTCAGGAAAGCCACAGTTTGGAGTTTAGATCAGGACGTCACATTGGCTACTGCCAAAAGAAGGAAACGTGAGAACAGTAACCTCCTCGAGGCTGTAAATGAAGTAATCAAACAGTAACTCGTAAAAATAATTCAATGAATAAAAACTCCCCATACACAAAAGATCAGAAGCAGATTGGTTTAAAAGCACTGTGTGGAGGATTTGTTGACTAGCAGTGGTACAGCTGAGCCATGTTTTCACAAACACTGACTGGTCCATGGAGTTTGCTTTGATGCAAATGCACGAGGAACCTTATGCATAAGGGTAGCGTCACATCACATCCTGTCACTGGTCTCACACCATTCCATCGACAGACAGCTGTTTGCGTGAATTCTACGGAAGAGGATTAGGGCCACTGGAAAAAAACACAAAAAGGGGGCACGTCTTTTTTTTTCTTTTCCAGAATTCTGAAAAAAAAGGTCAGAATTCTGACTTTTTCATCAGAATTATTTTTTCTCAGAATTCTGAGAAAAAAAGTCAGAATTCTGAGAAAAAAAAGTCAGAATTCTGAGATTAAAGTCAGAATAATGACTTTTTTTCTCAGAATTCCAGAAAAGAGGAAAAAAACAGACTTGTTTCTGATTTAATAATAAATGTTGTGACATTTAAAAAAGAGTGACCCTTGCCAATCTTGTTTAAAAACAAAAAAAGCAACATTCTGCATTAATGCTCCAGCTGAATTAGTAGTTAAGGGGATATAGTAACCTGTTGAGCAGCTTAAGGGGGATACTGTTCCCACTGAGAGATCATCAAAGTGAATTCAGATACAGCACACACTCAGAAACAGAGAAAGAAAACAGCGGGGCAGGAGGAGGGGGGCAGGTCTGAGGTGGGCTGATACCTCCACGGCTATGCTAAAGTCCACCATTGACACGCTGGTGTTCCTGTGCCAGCACACGTGCACCATGGTGTTACCACGGTGAGGCGTGGGCTTCTCCAATGACACGTGGGGAGCTGTCATGTCGTCCTCGGACTCTGCCTCCACCGAGGAGTCCTCTGGGCATTCTGGGAAAGTCAGGAGGTTGTTACTGCTAGACAATGAGCAGGATGATGAAAGAGGGGGAGGGAGAGGCGCTAAAACACAGACAGCGTCAGACCAATCAAAAATCAGCATGTATCTGGGAATTGACATGGTGCGTCTCTTAACAGTTAACACTGCTTTATCACAAAGTCAAGCTTCTCACATTCAGCTGTGTGGCTTCGTACTAACTTACTGTTGTCTGTCAGGCTGCTGGTCAGCAGCTCAGATGAGGGCCCGTTGCTGGTTTTTGCCATTTCTATCGCCATCTTTACGTCCTCCATCCACTTCTCCATCTCTACCAAAGAACTGGAGGAAAAAAAACACACAAATGGACAGAATGCTGAACAAAACAAGCACAAAGAGTCGCAGCAGGGTGGGCCCGGTGGTCAGAAATAGTCTGGTTAGCCCAGCCAAATGTTCCTCTTAAATAACAGTAAAACATGAACCATCTGTTTATTGAGGCAAAGCGAATCAGTTAAACATCTGAGGGCGGGAAAAGCATGAGAGCGCACTACACCTCAACTGAACTCACGTTGTTGTTGACTGCATGCTTTATGAATTGATTTTATTTTTATCTTCCAAGTATACTTTCTTATACTGTTGGCTTATTTTTATTTGATTTAACAAAAAGAAGAAATGTGCAGATGAGTTTTTCGTTGCCTTTCTGAGTAACCTGCCATACTCCTCTCAGGGGGCAACATCCCTCTGTTAGAGGGTAAAGCAACAGACTCTGTGTAGCCAAAGAGGCTAAAAGGGAAAAGACTGCAAATCCCAATTTTATGAGCTCACTGTAACTAAAAGTAGATGCTTTTAAAGATATAACTCAAAAGCAGATAAAATATTTTTAAAAACCTGCCACTTTAGGTTCAAGGTGCAAGGTGTTTGCTGGCAATCGTACCTAGCTGCTACTACTACGGACTGCCGTTGCCCAACCAACGTGAAGGCATGAGGTACACCCCACTCATCCTCACTCTCTCTGATCTGGAAGAAGAACACAGAGACACAAAAAGACATTAGAGAGCTGCAGTATCTAGGACAGCAAAGACCAAAATAGGCAGAAAAGGAGGGAAGGCGGGAGGGCGGATGAAAAGGAAGCGAGAGAGAAGCAAACGTGTAGCTGTCTTGAAAATATGTATGTATGTGTGTGTGTGTTCCTGTCTACCTATCTTTGTGAGGCCCGAAATCTGCATTCTACCATACTTGTGAGAACCAACAGTCACTTGTGAGGACAAACACGGGTCCTCACAAATTTGAAGGCCTTTTTGAGGCTCAAAATGTGGTTTTGGTGTCAAGGTTACAATTAGGTTATGGTTAGGTATTAGGGTAAGGGTTAGGGTTAGGCATTCATTTTTAATGGTTAGGGTTAGGGTAAGGCGCTAGGGAAACCACTATGTCAATGAAGGTCCTCACTAAGATAGCTGAACGAGCTTGTGTGTGTGTGTGTGTGCTAGAGTGGGGGCAGATGTTCTCTAGTAATGACAAACTGGTGACAGCCGCTCCAACGCCCTGTGTTTTTCTGCGAGACAACGGCACTTACTGTCATGCCATGGAGCGGCAGCTGCCCATGCACTTTGAACTGATTCGTCGCCGTCATCCCTCGACTTGTGTATAAAATGACGTCATTAAACTATTGCAAAAGAGGCAGAGGAGGATGCGTTAGTTAAAAATCCTAAGAACAAATGAACAACTCAGTGGCATTAAAAACCAAAACTTAACACTGATATCCTGCACACACAAACGCTTCTTTTCATGCTTATGCAACCAAATCAAATACTCGTGTAAAACACTAAGGCTGCCAAAGTTCAAAGCAACATGTGCTACGTTCCCCTGCGTGAACCTTTGCGGTTGCACTAAATCTGCCAACACCATCTCAGTAATGCATAGCCAGGCAGGATAAAAGCATGATTATCATTTCTGCTGAGATCAGTCAGCTAAATAATTCGATTAGTGATATGAGGTGAAGAAAGTGGGACGTTACCAGGAAAAACATTCGCTGCTGCAGCCCTTTTCCAGACAGTTTACTGAGGCAGCCCAACCTGATGAACTCCTGAGGAAAGAAATCATTTGTCACAAAATCTAAACAGAAACAAAAAGTTAAACAAATCTCTCTCCTGTAGATTTCAAACGCACCCGACCAGGAACAACGAGATTGTCGACGCCAATCAAATCCTTCTTCAGCTCCAGAAGTTTCTGCAAGTTCTCCATCTTGATTAGGCTTCCCTGAAGCTGGTCCACCACCTCAGACACATCAGCTAGAGCAGCTGGACACCAACCAGAGGTAAGAGATCGTTACAGATGGTCCGTTACACCAAAACACTGAAATACGCTTCTGTGAACTGAGTGTAACACCTCTGCAATCCCTGAAGTCCACATGAGTAGCTGGGTAATGTTTGCACAGGCGCTCCAGGATCTGCTTGTAGTGAATGAGGCGGTGCAAAGGCCGCAGAATAAAGACGTTGAGGGGAATGTAGCAGACCTTTTGCAGCTCAAAGTCTCTGCAGAGACCCTCCAACCTTCGGGACGCCTTGCACACCTTCTCAAGCTCCAGCAGGATTTCAGACTGCTTGCTCAGGTTTGCTGTCAGGGGCTGCAGGTATGACTTGTTATCCACGAACAGTCGTGATTTTCTCTAATTAAACACGTATAGAAGTTTAACAAAAAGTCACAGCTCACCTTCAAACCCTGAAGGTTCTTCAACAGGACATCTCCAATGCGCTGGTAGTCTCCCTTAATGTGTGCATTAGAGCGTCCTTCCCTTAAAAGAGAAAGACAGCAGTCCCTTTTAAGCAATGACTCCTAATCAGTGGTTACTGTTGGAGCTTATTTCCAGTTTAGCTTGCAAAATCTTCTTTAAAATATATGAAGAATTGTGTCGCTTTATGATGGTTCTGAAAATAAAGCTTTCTTAAAAAACTATTTCTATAACCTTTTTGTGTAATTTCCTAAATGTTCTTGCATATTCATGTGTGTTTGCCACTCTGCTCCTGTGTAAATTTTCATTTGCTGTACTTGTTGCCTGCTTTTCTTTTCTTTTTTTATTCATTGATTTATTTTCCTGTGTAAAGCTTTTTGTAATATCTGCCTCGCTTTGAGCTACATGAATAAATATTATTATTATCGTCGTGGACAACATGAAAGCACTTTAATCTCACTGACTATTCAGTCACACTGCGTGCAAGAAAAATTCCAATGAAGTTGGAATGGACGCGTTTAACTTTAAGAAACACCAGCAGGTGTCTCCCTTGAGCATCAGATTCCCCATGCAGGATTCATGAGGAATGGGGCTGCCATTACTGGACTTGGTCAGACTAGTTATTAATTTAATGTTAACATTTTAGCAGGGATTTTAGGGGGAATATCTCACTTTGTAAAATGCATCCTACTGCTCTTAAGAAAGATGACTATCTCATCATGTTCTTAACAACCAAGGTCCATATCAAGTACAGTATTTGAATATGCAAAGCTGCAAAAAAGGAAAGACAAATGTAGGGGTGGATAATTTGCATATGCATTTGAATGTGGTTCTTATCAGCCTAGTAAAGCACACTATCACTTTCTGCTTTAATTTGGAGGTCTAATGAGTGTGACTAGGCCATAAATTTTAACAGCTTTATGCGTCACTTTCTCCGCGTCTGTGAAAAAGTCAGTGTGTACTAGATAAAGCACAATCATTAAGGAGATCAGAGGGCATACGCCCACAAGCCAGAATAAAGGCAGGCTGTGGTGCAGCATGACTGTTGCTATGGAGATTCTAGCTCCTTGGGTCATCTAAAGGGACCGGACCGCCCTCTTGGGCTAAATGCCAGCAAAACTCATTAAAAATGGGGGAGGAAGTTGTTTTAAATTGAACTGTAACCCCCGACACATCACCAAGCTTGTTCCTGACCCTGCGGGAAATATCTGGAAGTGAAATGAGCCTCACCACAGTGCCAGCCTCTGCTCCACCTCCCTGAGAAAACCTGTGTGGAACTTGTGCAGAGGCTCAAAGGTGGAGAAGATGGCGTCCTTCAGGGAGTCCGGAGTTGCCTCATCTTGTCCCACGGCACTCTGAAAAGACTGGTATCACGGATACATGCATACAGTGATCTTTCAAGCCATTTAACGAGGGAAATACAGTTTAATCATAAAATCCTCAGTTCACTAACAAAACCAGGTTTTTGAGTGTTTTTTTTTTTCATTGTGCAGATGGCAGCGCTTGTCTACTTGTGACAAGCAGGTCATGCTTGTGACATCATAACAGGATGTTTACAGATGGTTTTTAAACTCTATTAGAACTTCCTGGTATCTGGATATAAGGCTGATTGTGGGTGAATATTTAATTTTGGCCTATATAAGAAATAAAATACTTGATTTATATGAACTACAGTACTGTGCAAAAGTCTTGAGCCACCCATCATTTTATTATATTTTGCTTTCAAGTTGCCAGATTTTTCTTGTGTTTTTAAAAAGTGGTCTTCAGCAATAGTTTTTCATTGGCTGTTTTTTCACTCATTTCTCACTCATAAGTCCAGTCGTTGTACCACTCATGTTAGGATGTAAAGAGGAGCTGAACTGGTGATTCTGGTTGTGTGTCTCTATGACAGGCTGGCGACCTGTCCACGGTGCAGCGAGCATCCAAAGAAGAGCTTTGCATGTCCTTGAAGAAACTTGGAAAACTACTCCTGAAGACTATTTAAAGAAATTAAAAGAATGTTTGCCTAAGAGAATTTAGGATGTATTGAAGAATAAGATACCAAATACTGACTTTCAAGCTTGTTAGAATTAAACAATCACCTTTCATACTGTATTTCCATATATGTTTACATATGTTTCAATAAATCACAGCAACTATTTCACATTTTTCTAGAAAAATATGAAGAAACGAAGGGTAACTCAAGACCTTTGCACATTTATGTATGATACCAAGGGTTACCAAGAGATCTCCACAGCGATTTTCTTCTGAGAAGAAGAGATAAAGTGAACAGGTAATGAAAAGCCTTTTGCCTCCTTTCAAATCCCTTAATTAGCTGAGGATGAATCGAAGAATCAATAGCCGACCATTCTTAACGCTGTTGTTTCATTAACTCAGAGAGAAGCCTTATGTTTATGTTTTGTGTTTGTGGACACTGAACAGAAAACAGCTTTATTTAGTTGACGTGATGGGAAAAGGAAGTGGGTTTTAGGAAAAGTGAGCGCTGGAAACGAGGCGCCAGCTGTTGTTCAGATGACTTCACCCTTAACAGCAGCGGCACCAACCAGAGCGAGGGAGCACACATACACATGCAGCAGAATAAAAGAACGAGGGCACAAGCCCACCCAAAATATTTATGAGATGTGTGAAAGACTCCTCTGAAAACTGCAAACCGAGAAAAGCTGCGGCTTTTGAACCTGCCAGTGTAAAAGGAGAGGCGAATCAAACAACGGCAACGCTTCAGTCCAGCCTCATAAGGACATCCTCCTTGATTGCATGTGAAGGAGCGGTACCGCACATTTAATATCCTGTTTGTACCCAGCAATTAAATCTACAGGAGCAGGCTGAAGCAGTGAGTCACAGGCAGAGAGCGCATGCGGCTAAATCCATCTATCTCTTTAAACACAAACACAGTTTAGTATTCACAGCCTTGAACAAGGGAGATAAATGCATTTCGGAGAACGAGCGTGGGGAATGAATAAAAAATGAAATCGCATCTGCCAAAATATTCCTGTGTCACTGCCTGACTCTATGTTTTGGCGGGTGCTCTGCGATGGAGCAGCTAACCGGAATAATCAATGTTTTCCCCCCAGAGGACAAGCGCAGGAGAAAACAAACAGGAGAGCGTTGGCTTGGCGAGCGACTTGGCCCATCTTACCACGGTCACCACCTCGAGGTCCTTCACATACGTCCGTTCTGTTGTCAGCAGCTCCTTGGCGATGAAGTAGGCTCGATCTGTTGGGAACCTCTGCAAGGGCATCACAAACGGGGTGTGCGTGAACAACACAAACAGTGTTTGGTGCAATCAGCTCCACAAATGTCTAACAGTAACTTTATTCAGGACAGATAATCTGAGTCCACTTCTATTTTGAGTAGCAACTTTATTTAAAAAAAATCTTTACAATGACACAACAAGGCAATATATTAAAGTGGCTCTTGGTTACAAACCTTCCTTCGAACCTCGTCTTCATCATCAGTGCGAACACTGCAGGCGTCATTGAGCAATGGGCTGGTGAGCGGGGAAGGCAGTCGGCCGTCGGGACTGTGACTGCACAGCTCCAGCGACTTCTGACCGTTGACCATCCCGTGGGAGTGTCCAGAGGACGCGGACAGGTGAGGACTGTTGGAAACCACACCTGCACGGAGCCATGGGTGACCATAATGAGATGAGAAAACGATGCACGATAAAGTTAGGCAGCTCTGAGAGCATTTGCATTTGCCTACTTTAAGCCGCAGACGGGTTGAGTTTTGCAGAAATTAAATAGTAAGAACAATTTTAATGACCAAATTGTTAGAATTTCTGAAGCAAACATGAGGTTTCTTTGCTTTTCTCTGTATTACATTGTTATAAAGCATTTGGGTTTTTTTTTTCTTCCCCAAACTGATTAAATGACACATTAGGAACAAGCTGAAGTGTGTGATGACATTTTTCGCCATGTTCTGACATTTGTTGAATACACAGCTGATAAATTGAGAATGTAATCAACAGATTATTTAATAGTGAAAATAATCTGTAGTTTCTGCTCCACAGAAATGTCATCTTCGTCAGATGCCGTGGTGGCATTTGGCTAATAATTAAACTCCAGCATTCGATTCTTTTTCCTACACTGCACACTTTACCTAATAGACACCTTTGCAAGCTAAACCAAACTGTTTCCATCATTCCATCTGAGGTCTGCCTACAGAAAATATAGAGTCAGCCGTGACTCACTCAACATTCCAGACAACGTCTTCATACCACATCAATCAATACGCAAGCTGAGACAAATACTGCAGGGTGATCGAGAAGAACGGCTTACTTAGTGTCATCCATTCTGACAGCGTTCACTCAGCTTACTTACTATGTTCCGGCAGCAACTTGCTCACCTCTCTCTGGCGACTTCTGGTGTGTTGGCACGAATGCAACAGCTATAACAAGAATGCAGGGCATTGCAGCTGGTGGCTGCAGTTAGCTCAATGCACAAGTACAGCTGAGGGGAGGCGTGACTCAGGCAAATACACACATCTAGAGGAATGCTACAAAGGAGATGGAAAGGTTCTAACATCTACAGTGGGGACCAGACTCCAGAAAATACACCGACTTCAATGGCTTAAAAAGGAGGATTTGGAAAAAATATCATTTTAACGTCTTTATTGACTCCGCTGAACACATATAGTTCAAAATTGTGTGAAAAGCAGCATAGAAAAGGCCCAGTGAACATCTACAAGAACACCGTGAGTGAATGAATGCAAGACAGAAGACAGACGTGGAAAAAGTGGGGATAAATGCATTCATGCTTCTAGGCCTGTAATAGTAAATGGCTTTATGAATATTTTAGTAAACTGCTTTTTGTTTTCACTCTGTTACTGCTGAGTCGAGAAACGTGTTAATGACAAATGGGTTAATTTGGAAATTCATAAATTATATAATTTATAACATAAACACAAATCAATTTCACATTAGGTTTAATTAAATAAATTACACAATAAGTAAAAAATACTGTACATTTCAGCTCTTTGTAAATGAGCTTGCTGCGATTTCTTACAGTCTAATTTAATGTAAATGTAAATATCTTACTATATATAAAGTACTGAAATGACAGTAATAGCACAGTATATTACAGTACATACAGTAGAGTGCATGCAGAGAGCAGCCAGAGCAGAACAGCAGGACCTGAGCCATACCACAAATCTGGTTTATCACAGCATGCATTGCAAACAAATCATCAAGGACACCAGTGGGTGAGAACAAACACAAGCCTGGCCCACACTGCAGTGATCCAGTAACTCCCAAATCTACATTATCTTAACACCATCTCTTAAATTCCAGCGCTAATTTTGATTTATTATGGATGGATAGACTTCAGTAGGTATTGATAGAAGTGTAAAACCATCATATCTCACTTTTGATATGCCTCTTAATGTCAGTGCTAAAGACTTTCTGGGGGGCAACCGCTGAAGCAGTTGACATGATGGATGAGCAAAGAGACTCTGTGCTTTGAGGTGCTGCCCTTAAACTGCCATTCACACATACAGTAACGCACGCATTCACCGATACGAAAACCCGCACATTCCCAGGCTCCTGTCATCTACAACCTCGTTATCTGGATCATTGCAGAAAAGGGAACCCAGAGGCTGGTAATCTTGTTTTCTTGTTTTTTTTCCTCAACCACACATTATGAGTTACAGAAAAGATAGACATGCATTCAAAGTTAGAAAAAGAAAAACTTACAAGATCAAACAGTTTCATGCTGACAGACAGGGACAGAGAAAAATAAAGAAATTAAACTGAGAAACAAAAAATGTAAAATAAAGCTTAACAGCTTGTTAAACAGAATACACAGAGACAAGCATGAAGACAGGGGTGCAAAAGAAAGTTAAAAAAGGAGACTGGAAATAAAAGTTAGGAAGACTGCAGCTCGGTGATGCCAAATTACCGCCAGAGATACTTGAACGCAAGTCAAGAGCAGACTGGGAATGTCAACACTGGGCATGAAAAGCCACAAACTGTTGTGGAGTGACCAAACTGTAACACTGCAACACACATGTGCTTTTAGATCTATCAGATGAAGCCACTGCCAGTCCCTTGAAGCTAGTACTCATGCAAATTTTGTGATCTCGTAACTCTCAAAACATCTGTGAACAAGAGAGCGCAACTCCCCCCACAGGGCAAGGGCTAAACTAAAACTCTGATACTTTATGATGTTTTTATGACAACATGCTGATGTCAGATTGTTTTTTTTCAAGGTCAACTTTAACCTTGCGTGCTAAAACCGCTTAGGTACTCATGTCCCCCAAGTGAAGTTTGAAGACGATCCATAAAATTGTGGGTAATATAATATAACTTTTACTAATTTTCACATTGGATGTGACCTTAACTTTGACCCGATTTTCACCAACATGAAATCAACTCCAGCTGTTATTGATATCTACCATCACACAAAATTTTGAAAATTATAATTTGATAGCTGTGGACGCTAGACTGATTGCAAACAGATACACACTCCCTCCCTTTGGCGGGACATTTAAACATGACAGCTAAATCATAAAGTTTGCTTCAAGTTAATGAGTTGAGGTACTGCATATGGATCAGCATCACTTCAGACCAGAACTTCTCACAACAATCAAATAGTAGGTGCTGCATTAAGAGTAAAAAAAGAAAGGTAAATGTACAGAAGTTAACAGTTACTACTACCTCAATGACACATCAACAGACCAAGCACAAAGTGTCTTATGCAGAAACCTTTAAAAAATGTAACTAACTTCAAATAGTTAGATGTGTCTATGGACAGCTATGGAACAAAAGGTGGATTTTTCCATAGGGAGTTTTAAGGCATCGTCTGACTTATGAATAAAATCTACAACATTTTTAATCAGCCTCACGTTTTAAACTGTCTGAAAGCCTCTGTACTCTCTGTAGTTTTTAATTAGTAGCCATTGAGTGTAAAATCCTTAAAAGGCACATGTCTATGTCCAAACGGACATGTTAATATAATTAAAGAACAGCGAGGCTGAACATTAAAGCCGCTCCATGAAATGGGTAAGAAAAGCCTGAACGGATACATTCGGCTACGTTTAAAAAGTGCTTCTACTCAGCAGTGCTGTGCTGTGACCACTATGGACTCGGGAGTGTGTGGATGTGAAAAAGCCTCCTGCTTACGTTCTGACCCAGACCCCTATAGCTCTCAGTCGCAGATGGTTTTAAAACTTTTAGCGCACTTAACAGCTGAAAATGTGTCCGATATCCTCATCGCTGAAGGCATGGGAAGCATCCTCATCTGCCTCCTCATCCAGCTGGAGGCTGCCAAAGGAAAATGTGTTTCTTGGTATGGGGGAACTAGAATTAGCCTCCGCTGGGCTACCAAACATCACGGGGCTGCTGCCCCTGTTATTTTCTAACTCCGACTCGCTGGACTCTGAGCCGCTTGTGTTCGGGCCATCGTTCATTTGAACTGCTCCGTACTGTGTGACACCGGTTGATCTTAATCGTTTCTGCCCCAGACTGGTCCGCGACCTGCCTGGCGCAGTTAGCCCATTGGCCACCATGCGGCGCTCAAGAGCAGCCATGCGTTCAGCCCGAGAGAGGACAGTACGCGATTCTTGCTTTGCAGAGGACGTTCCTTGGACTGGGTCTGCGTCAAAATGGGCTTTGTGGAATTTCTGTGAGCGAGGAGATCGGCCCATGATGGGAGAGCATCTGCCGTCATTAAAGTTAAGTGGAGTGGGACTGTAGCCGTTCTGGTCTATGCGACTGAGGGAAGGTGCGTGATGGAGAATGTCAATCACAGGACTGGCAGTGACACCCCTTGAACCCGTCACAGTGGAAACTGTTATAGGGCTGTTGCTCTGCCTCTCTCGGACACCTATGTCTCCTGTAATGCTATGAACAGGACTTCGGTCAACCGTTTGGCATGACTGCTTGGGAGAATGATCTAGCTCATGACTCATGATGAGCGATGCTCTAGAAGAAGAAGAAGACTCCCTATACATTCTACCCAGAAAGTGCTCCTGTTGAGCCTGCAGAGCCCCATTTATCCCTCCAGAGCCAGATCCCTGGCGGAGCATACCCTGTTCTCTATAGCTGTGGTCTGACCTGCTAGCCTGGTCCCTGCCCAAGTAATACTGAGCATCTACATCACTGCAGTCAATGTAGGGAATGGAAAAGCTGCTGCCTTTAGCAGCCCTAGATGCTGGACCTGTATTTAGATGTTCGGGGTGGGTCTGTCGTGTTGGGCTCCTTGTCTCCTCTGTCCTGGATACAGACCCCGTTCTCTCTTCGTGGCCATTTCTCTGATGCGAGGGGCTCATCCTCGCCCGTGAAGCTGCCGGGTCTTCTGCACTCACCAGGACCGACTCCTTCCAGTGACGCCGAGGAGAATCAATTCTGTCCCCAGGAGCACCACTCTGCCAGTACGAGACAGGAACACAGGGTTAAAGAATTTAAAGACCACAATTTATTCATTGTATTCATTACTCTTACTGAAGGCCAGGATTTTAAAAGTTTTAAATAAATTCTGCCTGACTTGAAAATACCCTGCAGATTTCTTGACTGACTGTGGAGTACCCCCGTGGCTCTGTTTTGTTGGGCAGGCTGGCATCTTCTATGCACACACATGTGCAGGGATACCACAGCACAGTATTGGGCTACCATGTGTCACCAGAACAGCCCTAGTGCTCCTTATTAATGATTCCCACTCCACAAAGTCTCTTGAACTGTGTTGGAGGGATAAAACACTATTCTTCTAAAAAGATGTTCTCTAATTTGGTGCTATGATGACAGTGTTAGCTGTACAAAACAGGAGTTTATTCATACCAGAAAAATGATCTTAGAGCATAACAGAGTCTTAAGATCCATGCCTCCGGATGAGTAGGCTGTATTTTGCTGTATTTTTACATTATGGGCATTTTTAAAAGAGAAAACAATGTGAAAAGCGACACTATGGACTGTATTTGCTCAGACAACAAAAAAATGCTGTATGCAACAAATTGCCCACTTAAAAGACTCACATCTGTTGGCACTTCACGGTGGCTTGGAGAAGGCAATGGTGACAGGCGACTGTTGTGTTGGACCCGACTGCTATACTGAACACGACTGTGTTTCCTGGCAGACAGGATATTAAAGGTCGGCGTTATAAACTCTGAGCACCCTCGCCTGTACCAAATATGTCAAACGTGTCTGCAGCCTTTACCTTTCAAACGGGATCTTTTTAAATTCAGACTCTTTCACATATTCAATCACCTGCTTCTGCGTGCGACCGCTGCAGAGATAAATACGAGACAGTTAATGATGAGCTATTCCGCAAGAGCCTTAGCAGACTGTTAAGTGATGGGTAGAAACTGCTGTGTTCTTGCAGCCATGATAGACAGAGTTTAGCTCTTTGATGCAAATGCTACCTGAATCTAAAGGAGGAGCCTCGTGAGAAGAGTACCGGCTTGGGCTTGGGCTTAGGTTCCTCAAATAGGCGGAAGAAGGCGTGATATTCAACACAGATCTTCCAGAAGACTTTACAGCAGTCCCTGCTTGGCATTAAAAACTCCAGAGTGTCCTGATATGAACTCTGGGGGACACATCAAGACATTTAAACACAACATCAGTCAGTGAGCTGAAGGGTTTCAATATTTTGTGATGTCACTTACATTTAGATCTGGCCTCAGCTTAATGAGGAAGCGTTTTCTCTTGAAGCTCAGTTTTCGAACTTTAGACCAGTTGAAGGCGTTAATCTTTGTGTGTCCCTGAAGTGATGAAAAACAGAATTCACTATTTTGCACTACTAAACACATAAAAAGCGTTTGATACCAGTTGGGCTGACCTGCACTGATTTTGGACTAACCTGGAAGACCAGGACACCTGTGTGCGCCACAGTCAGGCTTAACTTTGTTCCCTCGCGATCCTTGGCAGGATGGAGCCGAATCCCGTACATCTCCAGCCTGCGAGCAACTTCTAACAAATGGTAGTCTGATTCTGCTGGTGTCTGACCACTGTGGTATAAAACAAAACAAATGAAACTATATTTCATGTAGTGTTTAACAGAAACAAATCTCAGGGAAAGACCATAACCATCAATAAAGCAATCATACTAACGAGCACTGTCACAAACCTCCACTGTCAAAAAACAAACAAAGACACCTTCGTAGTGTTGGGTTGTCTATACTTTTGAAAACTGGAAGCACTGGAAGCATACTGTAGTGGTTTACACATCTACCTAACTAGTGAAGAGATCCCCAGTTTGAGCAAATCAAAGATGTGGAGCTACCTGCTGTGGGGACCGCTCGCGAATGAGGGACCAGCTTTTATTTAACCCACATCTGTTAAATTCTTTAATATCTTTTAAGCCTTGGTGTTATTATTGTAACAAAATATTCTGTGTTATATGCTCATAAATTTGTTTTACACACAGGAACTCGAGCTTTAAAATTCAGTCTATTCACTTTTCACTTTAGAAACTATTTTCTAGATGGTTTTGGAAATAATTATTAGAGCAGGGAGGGTAAATTAAGACAAAAATGAATCGTATTCCCCTGTTGGATATCTGGCTAATTAAAGTGAAAGACAAAGACAGAGTTCAATCCAGGTTTCTCAAGTTTATCTGAGTTTCTTGAAAAGTTGTGGGAGGGGCTGCAAATGCCAACTAACCTTCCTATTTCTTATCAGTGGATAAGCCTTCCTGTTTCCTGTGTGTGGTAATTAATAAGCGATTTAATTCTACATGGCACATAGCCAGAAGTACTGCAGTCATCAACTAAGAAGGACTCTTGGTGGGAAAAAAAGAGCAAGTTAAAGGGAGCAGTCTAAAGCTCTTAAAGGGAGCAGTCTAGAGCTCTAACGGAGCTCCTTTCATGTTGCCGCAGCCACCCACTGCGTGCCCATCTCTGGCATGACACCCTGTAATGCTGAGTTGAGACAAGTGTTAGCAAAGCATTGGCACATATTCAAACCCATGCACGGTTGGGGGAATTTTGCGAAATATGCTTTAAGGACATTTGGAAAGTTTCCAGTAACATATTCCCAACACATACCACTCCCAAAATGAGTGGCAGTTATAATAGAAAAGCCTAAAAAGAAGCGCCAAGTTCAATCGCCAGCTTCACTTCTCGCGACCTCCTGCACGAGACGCCTCGCAGCGCTCTCTGACAAACTGCGTTTTTAACCTACTGAACCAGCCGACAGCAGCAGCGTGAGTCATGCAGCAGGTTGAAGGAGGATTTCAGATCTCTGTTTGGAGGAAAGTAGTCTTTATAGACAGAGCAGAAGATGAACTCACATCCACTTCTGGCCAGAAGCTGTAAAACAACTTACAAAGACTGCCTTTTCTAAGCCCGTGTATAATAAAAATACACAGCTCTCTGAGAAAGGAGCCTTTCATTCAATGGCTGTTTTCCTGAATGTGCCACCTCTATAATAAAAGTTCCCAGTGGGACACGCACGCGGTCTGAAACAACATTTCCTGTTGACGGGTTGAGAGAGTAATTTGAGCGCAGCCATGCCTTCAGTGACCTTATGAAGAGAGTTAATCAGAAACTACGACTAGAACCAAACAACTGCCTTATTTTAAAACCACTGTGCAGCCTTGAATCAAGATCTCTACTCACATATTCTTTGAGTGAAACTCCATGATTTTGTCAATGAGGGGCATTTGATCTGGGATGTAGTTGTTGTTGAGGAGGTGTGACCGGCACTGGCTCTCCTCAAAGTCTCCAATCTCAGCTTAAGGGAGACAAGAAAGAAAGGGGGGGAAGCTCATGTTATACAAAATAAGAATAAAATAAATAAGAATTGATAATAATGAGAATAATAGAAAAGAAAGTCTAGGGTGCTTGTAAAAGCGCTTCAGAGCGTGGATTTTCTGGAGGAATTAAAGGTATTTCCTTTTCCGTTTTATTGATACAAAAAACTTTGATCACTATCGTGTGACAGACTGCAGCAATGAAAATGCTCAGATTTCCTGGCATTGGCACCATCTAACTAAAAAATACCCACCGTAATACACCGATAATCAATTTGCAGTGGTGTGCAGTGTGCACTGTTACAGTCACGGTTAAAAGAAAGCATTTAATCTTTAGATGAAATGTTGTCTGTATCAGGATATAATAAAAAATAATCCGTCTCTTAGCTGCTCTTAAAATTAGGTAAACAAATCCTCTGATGAACAACAACTATAATTATTCATTTAACAAAAAAAAAAAAGCCATCAAAAATGAAAAAGCAGTGTGTGAAAAACCCTCACTGCTTCTGCAGAAAATATGAGGCTAAGTAGCCGCCGGGTGCTGATAATCAAATGCACTTGATTAACTGATCATCAGCGAGTGCGAGCACCTCTATAAAAGCACTACTTTAGGCAGCTTGCTGATCTGGAGCCATTGTTTATTCACACAATGCCAAGAATGAAGGACATCAGTGATTTTAGTGAAGCGATTGTTGCTGATGGTGATGATTTGGGAACTCCTCAAACTATTCTAGAGACAAATGTGAGGCTAAATCCCCGTTTACCTAGTTTTTCAGACACTGCTTCTACATTTTGTTGTTTTTTTATCAAATAAATAACTACTTGCTGTAATTTGTCATGTGTATTTGTTTGTCTGAGGTTGTATTTACCTAATTTTAACAGCTGGTGAGGACTAGATTCTTTTTTATGATGTCTTTTCATGTAAAATCTTAGAACTGATACTGTACTTTGCGGTGTACTTTTGTTTTTTTACCATGACTGCCTTTCATCTATGTGTGTGTTTTGTTCCCATGAGCTTAATGACAAAAACAGCTCCGGCGTTCCTTACATTGTATAATGTAGGAGACCATCAGAGCGGCGCTGGTGTCGTTGCAAGTCAGACGTCCACAGTAAAGGTCCTGTTTGATCTGGAGGGCAAACAGGTACCTGGGCCAAACACAAACAGCATTCACATTATACAAAAGGAGGAGCTGGAGTTTGGTGTTTTCTACCACCTGAATTCTGGATCAGATTGAAATCTACTGCTAAACTCAAACATGGCAGCCAAGAGGATTATTGCAAATTCTAACTAAATGAAAAGCATCTTTTGCCTTTCTTTGAACCACAGTCAGCTGGAACAAGTGTACAGTTTAAATTCAGAAATCTATAAGAAGTAAAGTTAGTTTTCGGGACATTTCCTGAACACATTGCACCTCCTGGCTGTAGTCCAGCACAGAAACAAATATAGTCCTGATAAGAGGCATAATAATTACTTCGGTTTTTTGAGAACATCTAACGTCAGCGCCAACTAGTCAAGCAGTTTGCATCCACCTCCGTCCTTCAGCTGCCGAGTTTGCCAAAAAATGTTTTCAATGTCTTTTGCATTTTCAAATCAATGAATAATTATGACAAATAACCAGGATATAAAGTCCAGAACAAGAAAGGAGAAACCGGAAAACCATTAGCTCCACACTAATCTCCCAAGAGCTAAATCAGAAACATGGCAGCCCTGATATGTGAACAGCATAGCGTGGCGGGGCATAAATCTTGTGGGAACCGCAGCACGTTTCATGTTTCCACAATTGTTTTCAGTCACAGTGGAAATAAGTGACACTGATTTACACTGACACACTGTATACAAGTGCACGTTTCATTGCCAAGCGGAAGATAAGCACGCTGTTGGAACGAAGATAAGTTATATCACACAGAGAGGAGCTCACCTTGTCAGCTCCTCCAGTAGCTGGGCGTGGTCCGGGGGGAAAAACTTCACAGAAAACCTCAGGATTGTGTGTTTCGGCCCTGCGTACACACAGCAAAGAGATCTGCTATTGGACTGCATCAAATACACAAAACAGCAGCTCTTTGAAGCGAGATATGCTTCTCGCTCGCTTACAGGTTTTCTCCAGACAAACAAAGAAACGTCCACTGAGAGAGTTTTCTTCAAAGAATAGGGTTCAGTATTTTAAAGCACTTACGCCTGAGCTGCTTGATAATGGGTTTGATGTGGTCCAACCAAACCTGTGAAAGAGAGAAGACAGTTAACACGGAGCTGATTTTAGGGAAAGCAACGTTAGGTATGCTTGACAGAGGTTCCTCTGTGCTCTCATTTACTCACCATCATCTTTTGTTGGTTCTGAAACTCCAAGCCAAAGTAGTCACCCTCAATGAGATTCATGTGGGAGCACACGAGGTCAAACAGCACCTTGCCTGAGGCTTTTTGCTGTGAACAAAAGGAAAAGACAAAGAGCTATAGTTAATATAACACTGCAACAGTAACTATTCCTGTTTTAAAGTCAGCTTTTGTCCTCAGCATTGAAGTCAAAGGAGACTCTGGTATTTTATATGGTTACATACATAAAGCCAGCCAAACTTCTGGGCCGAATGACACAAAAGAGCACTCAGGCGCAAAAGAGCCCGGCTTTGTTGACCTGTCAAACCCCATGCGAGTGAATGCTACCCAAGTAGATAATCATTTTTTTGACTAAATTCCTCTGCCAGCCTTCGTCCTTCTATTCTTGCTTTCACGGGCTCGGTTGGTCACAAAACCCCTTCCTCCCTGCTGGAGCCAGAGGGGGAGGCAGGCCCCGTCTTTGATCTGTGTTTTCAGTGTCACTGCTGTCACTGATGACGGCCCGGCGGCCTTTGAGGTTGATACAGTATCAGGACGGGATAAAGACCCTCCCCGACCACCTCCGTCCTCGCTCGCAGCGTGCGCAAACACTTTGAAGAAAGAGCGAGCAACCCACGTGCTGCCTGGCGATGTGACAACACACAAGCCTCAGAAATCCACCACATCTTTGGAGAGAGAAACTTTCCCATGTAAGGTCAAGTAAAAGTCAGGGATTTCCACTGAAACACTTCTGTTGCAGGCACCCTGAGAAGACAGAGCTCTGTCAGGCGCACACACAGCAGGAGAATTTTTGCCTGGCTGCTTCCTCGTGACTGCTTTGCACCAGAGCTGAGCGTGTCCCAGCTATAGCATGTGAGCGTTTGTAGTAGCAGTTCCCTTTGGTTTGGATAATGATCCAGGGATGTCTCCGAGTGGGTTTCAAGGAAGCAGTTTCTCCTGTGCTTTTACATAAAAGGAAGAGTGAGTCGCAGAGACGCGTCACATGAATTCCCCTTCATGCAGCTGAACTGTATTAAAGGGTCTCGCCCGCCTTTAAATGTGTCTGGTGTTTCACAGGCAAAGAATGATACAGTCTGCGCTCCTGTTATTGCTCAAAGAATAAAAACAGAAGCTTAGCCAGCTTAGTGAAAGGGTTTACACTTTCACAAAAAAATCCAAAGTCTTTCCCAAACAAGCGCCCACTCACAACATCAGCCACTCCCCCCCTCATGCGTCTGTCCTTCCTTCACAGCACTACTGTCTCTCGTCAGGCAGCGCAGAGGGTGTCCTCTGTCACCATATGGAAACCAGTTGTTTCCATATGGTGACAAGCAGGCTAGAGGGAAAGAGCTTAAGCCCTTCTCACACGTAAATATTCCACCCTAACTGAGGCAAATGAACTCCTGAATGACTTCTATGTCTCATGTTTTCTGAACAAATGTGCCCTGCGGTGGCTCCAGGAAAACGTATGGCGGACAAACCGCTGCGGATGCAGTGTTGAGGCTCAAGAGTGTTTCTGTCTCACGTATCCAGCCTTATAAATCTGCTGTCGGGGCAGAAATGACCGCGAGCCAAGCAGAGATGGGTAAGGCCGAGGCTGATTAAAGCTTGACAGTGCTTGATTAAATGCAGCTGTTGCAGACTGGAGTTAGGGCACTGCCATTTGACACCGCTGCAGCCGGCACAATAATAAGGCCGCTGTTAATGATGCACAAGACCCAAAGATGACAGCTGTACTGGCGCAGGCACTTGGAGGACACTTAGTAACACAGTACTCACTTTAGAGTCTCTAAAAGCCTAATTGCAGCAACGTAATAATGAAACCTGGCATAAAAGCAACTTGTCTTACAAAACCGAACCCTCTTAGTTGCCATTTTATTAGGTACACCTATCTATTACTAATATACATCAATACAATAGACATTTAATCAATCCTAGCAGGATATAACCCACTTATTCTGTTTCAGAAGGGATATACAGTACTGGATTGGAGTAGTTTTAGTTAAATCTACCCAATAAAGTCCGAACCAACTGTTTACGAAGACAGACGCTCATCTTTGGACAGTACAGGTGTTACTAGATTACTACAACTGACTCCATTTTTTTCATTGGGGGACCTGTAGGCAGGGATTTTCTCTTATTCAGCCACAAAGGCAATAAGACCATTAGATCAATGTACACTATATGGACTATATACTGAGCCACACCTCTTAGTCATTCTATTCAGGTGTTTCATTCAATCCCATTGTCGCTGATGAATGAAATCAAGCACGTATTCATGCTGTCTGTCTTTACAAACATTTCTGAGGAATGGGCTGTTATAGCACAGCTGCAACAAGTCTTTGGTGAAATTTCTTCCCTTCCAGACAATCCACAGTGAGCTGTATAGTAAGTGGTAATATTGCAAAGTCAA